TGGAGCGGACTGCTCTGGCTCCGGAGTGGAGCCACTGACCGGAGCTGGACTAGACCCCGGTGGAGCGGACTGCTCTGGCTCCGGAGTGGTGCAGCTGACCGGAGCTGGATCAGGCACCGGTGGAGCGGACTGCTCTGGCTCCGGAGTGGAGCAGCTGACCGAAGCTGGATCAGGCACCGGTGGAGCGGACTGCTCTGGCTCCGGAGTGGAGCCACTGACCGGAGCTGGACTGGACCCCGGTGGAGCGGACTGCTCTGGCTCCGGAGTGGTGCAGCTGACCGGTGCCGGACCAGGCACCGGTGGAACGGGCACAGGCCGTGCCGGACTGGACAAACGCACCACTGGTCTGGTGCGAGGAGCAGGCACGGGCCGGACTGGACTAGGAACACGCACCGACTGGCTTGGTGCGAGGGACAGGAACGGGCCGGGCCGGACTGGCGACGCGCACCACTGGCTTGGTGCGAGGAGCAGGAACAGGCCGGGCCGGACTGGCGACGCGCACCACTGGCTTGGTGCGAGGAGCAGGAACAGGCCGGGCCAGGCTGGCGACGCGCACCACTGGCTTGGTGCGAGGAGCAGGAACAGGCCGGGCCGGGCTGGCGACGCGCACCACTGGCTTGGTGCGAGGAACAGGAACTGGCCGGGCTGGGGACGCGCACCACTGGCTTGGTGCTAGGAGCAGGAACAGGCCGGGCCGGGCTGGCGACGCGCACCACTGGCTTGGTGCGAGGTGCAGGAACAGCCCGGGCCGGGCTGGCGACGCGCACCACTAGCTTGGTGCGAGGAGCAGGAACAGGCCGTGCCGGGCTGGCGACGCGCACCACTGGCTTGGTGCGAGGAGCAGGAACAGGCCGGGCCGGGCTGGCGACGCGCACCACTGGCTTGGTGCGAGGAGCAGGAACAGGCCGGGCCGGGCTGGCGACGCGCACCACTGGCTTGGTGCGAGGAGCAGGAACAGGCCGGGCCGGGCCGGACTGTGGAGGCGGACTGGAGGTCTAGAGCGGAGAGCTGGCACAACCCGTCCTGGCTGGCTGCCCACTTTCGCACTACACGTGCGGGGTGCTGGCACAGGACGCACTGGGCTGTGCATGCGCACTGGCGATACAGTTCGTAGAACTGGCGCAGGATATGCGGGGGACCAAGGAAGGCGTACTGGAGACCAGGAGCGTTGAGCCGGCACACCCCGTCCTGGCTGGATGCCCATCTTCGCACGGCACGTGCGTGGTGCAAGCACAGGACGTACAGGACTGTGCCGGCGCACTGGCGACACAGTACGTAGCTTCGCATAACACGGAGCTTGCCCAGTCATACGCCTCTTCGCGTGAGTACGGGGAGTTGGCTCTGCTCTAACCCTAGGCTTCACCAACCACCCCGTGTGCCCCCCCCAAAAAAAATTATTGGGGCTGCTTCTCGGGCTTCCTCCTCGACCGGCCTCCTCCGTGTTGCCGTTGCTCCTCTCCTGCCTGGGCATCTAACTTAGCCCATGGTCCTCTCCCCGCAAATATCTCTTCCCATGACCACAAATTGCCCACCTGTGACATGGCCATCCGCTCCGCCTGGACACGCTGCTTGGTCCTCGTTTGGTGGGATCTTCTGTCACGTTCGTTGAATGACGGGACAGACCAAGGCGCACCGTGATATACGTACATGTTTATTAACGTAATAAACACTCGACAAAACAATAAACGAAACGAAACGTGAAGTCCAAGGTAGCACACACAACATACCTTACAAGGAACAAGATCCCACGACACACTAGTGCCAATAGGCTGCCTAAGTATGATCCCCAATCAGAGACAACGAGCGACAGCTGCCTCTGATTGGGAACCACACCGGCCAACATAGATATACACCTACTAGAAAAACAACATAGAACATACACAACAAAGAATATACACACCCTGACTCAACATATAAGAGTCCCCTGAGTCAGGGCGTGACAGAATACAACAGGTGTAGACCTTACCGTGAAATGCTTAATTACAAGCCCTTAACCAACAATGCAGTTTTAAGAAAATAGAGTTAAGAAAATATTTACTAAATAAACTAAAGTAAAACATTAAAAAATAAATAAAAAAGTAACACAATAAATAACAATAATGAGGTCTATAACAGAGTTGTTATGTTCTTTGTGTTTCTGCAGTGAAAGAGCGCCTTACAGAAATGAAAACTCTTGAAATTGGAAGGTCATCGAATCCGGCATGACCAAAATACATTCGTAAAGTTACTTCCTAAGCTCAAGTACAACTCTTGGTATTTGTGCTAATCCTCTCTGCAGACATATTATTTTATATGTGTCATATAGTTGTATAATGTGTGCCATGCATGTAGTGAGGTCTACATGCATACATACATGTTCTGGTCTTCATTAGACTATGGCTGAACATCCTCCCGGCCTGACAGAGAAGGTCTTTCATCTGCACCTCCCCAGCCTGGTCCTGCTCAACCAGAATCTAACTAGTAACACCCCATAGCCCTAGGCAAGGTCAGAGTTTGCACCAGCACACAACATTACAGCAACATTGCCTGCTCTAATGGAAAAATAACAACATTCAAGTTACTTTGCATCAATCTCATAGACAATGTATTCCAGTCCAACCATTCATATAAGTCCCAATGGAAATGGAATAGTTCCAGGTGGTTGTGATCTAAAAATAATACCATGCTCCGTCAATGGCAATGGAACTGACCTGGAACTCACATGGGAATAGACGCGTGAGCATTCATATCATTAAGGTTACCAATCATAACTGGTAACTTGACGAGTGACAATGAATGGGAAATGACTGTATAGCGAGACGTCCTTTTAAGTTTGCCTAATGAAATGTAAGCACTATATTAGAGGGCCCAAACCCCAATACAGCAGGGCATGAAAACCATCTGAAATCCATTGATTCCTTATGAGGTACGGCTGATATTGTTGGGGCAGCAGGGTGTGTGCATGCATTACGACGTGGCGAGTCTATTGTAAGTGAAAAGAGGAGACAGACAGAACTAGCGTGCAAGGTTTGATAAATGGCGAAGCATGGTTCAGTGCAATGCTAATCTGCAGAACGGGTGCTGAGGGGTCAGAGGAAATGTGTGGGATACAGACTATCTTTGTTGCTGTCCACTGAAAGGAGTTAGTGTTTTATATACCCCATTTTAATCAAAAAGACAAACGTCAGCGAACAGAAGGGTAAATATTTGACTGACTGATTATTCAAGAGGTCCGAAAGGACAATATTGTTTACCAAAATATGTTTCAATTGGAAAACAATATCCCCTAGCCTGGAACAATGGGCTTGTAATGTCATGCGAAATGAATAAATGCTATCTTGGCTTGTAGCATCCGAGACAAGCTTTTGTGCCCGACAACAAGCCTTTTATTTAGTTGTTGCAGTTTTTATTTCCTTTTATATCCTCAGAGACTTGGACTTAGTGCAGCGTGGCTCAAAGGAGGATGGAGGCCTTTGTTTTGACGTTTTCACACTTGAGGGCTGTGGTATTTGGTGTGTGTATAGAGAGGACTGTGACAGGCTGAAAGGGAGAGGGGCTGGCTCACAGAGAAAGGAGGCCTTGGCTAAACACTGGCCATGGTCCTGGAGCACAGAGCAGCACAGAGGAGGATTAGTGTGCATGGACTGAGAGGAACTAATCTCGTGACATAATAGAACTGTACATAAACAACATCCTGAGAGGAGAGTGGCCTGCCACGGCCATAGTCTCAGCCACAGCCAAAGACAGCCAAAGACTGACTGGAGAGCAGAGGGCCTGAGTAGGTGAAAAGCAGGGCTCTGAATAATTAGCTAGCTGCCGACTGTGGAAAGACCAGGCTGGTTCTTGACCACTTGGAAATGTGGATGTCCTTAGAGGCACAACAGCCAATCGTCTACAGTCTAGACTTGTAGGGTCTCTGTTGGCACAGAGAAAGTTGTTCAAGCACAAGTCGCGCACACACTCACGGACAAGCATGCATGAGCACATGGAAACTGGGATTGAAGATTTGGCAATATACAGTACACTAATCCACTAATCTTGTACATGAATCTTGATATACCTACAAAACAATGCAATTATCATACTTTTCACAGATTCATGATATTGCATTAATAAACAGTAATAGATCCCATAATAGCTTGAGACAATACCATTGTATAAAACCCATATGCAGAGAACACTTAGCAGTTTGTGGGAGAGCTACAGTAATCGGCTGTCTGTCAGTTGTGTATATGAAAAGCAAACCAGAATTTGAGGTCTAAAACAGCAGTGTAGACATTACAAGGGGCATAAGGGCTAACCAAATGTAACATGCTGGGTCGTCCAAAACAAATGTCAGGATGTCCAGACTATGTAAAACTACATCAGGCCACACACTTGGCCAGTGCTGAGGTGTTCCATGGCCTTGTATGGGTGTTACTGGCACAACAAGCGTAGAAGGTATGAGTCAGCCGCAGACAGCTGACTGACTGATCACAGCCAAAAAATAACTATTAAGTAGCACTAGCATCTGTGAGGTTTGATTCATATAAAAACTCAAGGAAAACACCTCAAACCTCTGGCCTATCCTCATTTTAGTCGATTTCACACAGTTTACTGTATTCTCTCTCATACCAGCAGCATTTATGTACTCACAAAAATGTCAACATTCCACAGCGTATTGAAAAAGTGAAGGGATTGAGACAAGAAGGATTTAAAGCTGTTCAAATACAAACAGCACACTTTACTTATCTGGCAGGACACAATACTGTAGTCTAAAGGAGAGTATTATGTCCAGGGCACCCAACTCCAGCCATGGCATGCTGTTAAGCTCTGAATGACCTGTTTATTTAGACTGTTTGAGTGTATGTCTCAAGCGTCTGGGGAGATTAGTGAATATGCTATGTTGGAGTCTGGCATTATGGACTACACAGCCAACATAAGCACCAGCATCTGCCAAATAGTCCAATGTTTAGACAATATATACCATTTCATATGGACTCCTCACAGCAATTTTAATTAAGCGGGAAAAGCATAAGGAATAGGTTAAGGATTATTTTATTACTTACCAGTTTGTACAGTTTCTACCATGGAAAAATAACATGTAACATGAGACTATATTTACAATTCCATTTTTACAAAATGTCTTTACAAGATGTTTTGCCGGTTCAAAAATACTAGACTAAAACACAACACACACATAAATCCAACTTTGTAATACACACATAAATAAATAGACATTCACTGACTGTTCCACAACAAATATTTCTACAGCCAAGAACATAAAATTCCATAATTTCCACACAAAGTTATAATTTCATTAATAAACATGACATATTATTCCACATATAATTCTCTGTTAATCTGTTAATGAAACATTGCTAACATATTCAAAAGAGGTAACACAGACATATTCATGCCTACAGAACACTAATGTTTGACATGCAAAACCATTACAAGCATTCAATTTGAAGCTAGTAATTTATTTACAGTTTAAATTCAAATGTACTTCTACATGGAACATACTATGATAAATATTCTGGGTTAAACTACACTGGTTTTAGTTACATTATTCATCAGTACATACGGTATGCCTAAGCGCCATCTTTTTACTTGGTAAAACAAAATAAATAGGTGAACTCCAACGCTCCTTTCTCAATGAATACATGATTGTGTTTTACAATTGTATGGCGTTTTCTCCACTGTTATTAACGTGTCTTCAGTTTAGTTACCATGATCTTAAAACAAAATGTGAATTACTTTTTCTTGTCCTTTTATAATCTAACAACCTTTGTGTTCTAGATATACAAAGATATACAATTGGAATTGATAATATACTGTTTTGTTATTGTTTCTTTTGGACCAAAACAGTTTGAGAATTCCTTAACTCCTTAACCAACTTAGTCTTACTGCCCCACAAATAATGGGAGTCCTACATATCAGTATGTATCTGACTGTATGGTGCAGAGTGCCCAGTCAGTGGATGGAATCAGAAAGGACTGAGGGGAAAGCATATGCTGTGCAGCCTGAAGGTGAACCCATATCACATAGGTTGGGGTCAGAGTTCATGGTCTGCTGTGTTTGCTGTGTTGCTGTTTGGTTCCACACTGTATTCCCTGCCTGGGTGAAGGTGCTGAGAGACATTGGTTCCTGTCCCACTGGGTCTGATGGGTCAGGGGTCTCAATGTCTCTCTGCTGAGGGCTTCTGATGGTGTGGATGGTGCTGCCTGAGTCTGGGTCCTACAACACACAAAATACATGTCAATATCAGTTCCTAATGGTACTACAGAATAATTATCCAAATAGAGTCATCTATGGTCATGCAAGAAATATACTCGTCATTGATGACCTCAGAAGATGGCACTGAAGAGTCACAGATTTTCTCAAATGAGCTATGGTATCTCTGTTTAAATCTAGTTGGACACAGTCATGTGGCTGCCTAGAGGAGAGCAGCAGTTGTAGTCAGTGGTCAGTGAGTTGGTACTTACGGTGTTGCAGGACTGGTTGCACACTGGGGGTCTGGAAGGTCTTGATGGTGGCAGGACCCTCCCCTCCTGACGTTATCACCTGGACCTCCAGTCTGTAGTACGTGGCTGGCCGCAGGTTGGACACCACCAGCAGATTATGGTCCTGAAAGGGTTAACAGCACAAGAGAAGACCATTAACCATCTTTGGTAGTACTGTAGAAAACATTATTTGATATAACATCCGGTATATAAGAGGTATTCAGACACCTCCAAGGATAAATCGAAGTTGATCGATTTTTTGTTGTTGTTGTCAAGAACTCATACTAATGACATTTTCTATCAGTTTCCATTTTCTTTCGTGAAACCTTTTCTACAATTGTAATGGAATTGAACAGTAATGTTGTATCAACTTCTATTTGTCCTCCAAGACTGGCTGAATACCTTTCTCATATACAGTTGACTGTTGTTTAAAGCATTCATCTTGGTTGGACTTCGGGTAGTATCACTTTCTGGTCCCCGTATAACTTTTTTCACATAGAAGTCTAGAGTTTTTGTCCGTTCTGTAGTTAACATGTTGAATTAGCTGTTGAGTAAACGTGGGCTATATCCCATCCACCATCTGCTCTCTATTCAGCCACAGAGGCAAATAAATATTTATCCTGTTTTCTCTCTTTCCCTGCCTGATAAACTGAGTGTAGTGATGGGTGTTTTTATTTTTAGAGCTGCGAGCGGCTCACTGGGTGGCGCAGACAGGCGGAACGTGTTGTTGATCGAGTAGATTATGTAAAACAGTGGGTTTTGCAGCGCGCTCATACAGGATGAAAGAGGAAGCAGGGAAGGTAGATGAAACACGGGAGGAGGAGAACTTCTAACGGGACTCAGCACCCCTCCCTCAGATCTCTCTCTCTGTGAGTGCACACCACTGCTTATCTAGTTCTTCATGTAAAGAGGGCAATGCAGTGTATCCTTAAATTACCTCCACTCCTGGCAGGCATTGTATAATGAAATGCTGAAGATAGCACTTATTCTTTCAGCACACAGAGGGCAGTATCCCTGGGAAAAGTACAATATATTCTTGATAATATTTTATTTCAAATCCTTGCTAAGCTTTTGTGTCCTACAGCAAAAGCAAATACATTACAATAGTCACATCCTGGTATAAACAATTCTAAAAAGTGAGTGAGTGCATGTACCTTTCCAAAGAAGAATTTCCGTTACAGGAATAATAGTTATTTGAATATAACGGAGTTGAATAGACTCACTGGAGGCAGGATCTGGGACTGGGAGATGAGGCTGTTGGGCAGGCTGTTTTGTCGGCTCTCAGTGGTGACCTCGGCCCAGGTGACCTGGAAGCCTGTGATTCGTTGATGGGCCAGGACCTGTGACACCCGCCACAGAAAGTTGCCAGTGATGTTTCCCTCGTGGATGGAGAAGGATGCCGTCAGATTCTCCGGCTTAGCCAACACTTTGGGAAGTGGGGCTGCTGAGAGAGTTCGGAATAACTATGTTGAAAAATACTTGTTTGATGGACATGTGTTCTTGGCACAATATCAACTGTATAGGCTATGGTGGGAAGAAATTAGTCACAGTAAATAAATAAAGCAAAAATCTACTATAACATGAGAAGAAGAAGCATCTTTCAACAACCGTGTGGAGAACTTAGGAGTCTGGCACATAATGCAACATGACAATAAGAGTAGGACCATAATATGACCTGGTTGTACTGAGCAGCTGACTCACCTCCCTCCCCGGGACAGGGGATGTGTTTGTGGCTCTTGCTCTTGATGGTGGCGCAGGATGGGGTGAGGAAGGTGGTGCTCTCATCCTTGGTGCGCCTCTTGGACTTGAGCATGTGAACAGTGACTTTGTACTTGCAGGAGAAGAGCAGGCCCGGGAGGTTGATGTAGTTCTCCTGAGCCAAGAGACACATTAAACGTTCAGAGCCCTGACATGATGTCGCCCAGGTCACGTCCCGGGGAACCACCACAGATAATTAAATACATGGAGCCAAGAGAGGATCAGGTTCCCTCCCTATGCCCTGGAACATGGCCCACATTACTGAACCACTTTGAACAGTCACATTTTAATGGTTAACCCACTAGTCCTCCATTCAAACTACAACGCAAACTGATTATATTATTTTTATGGGTTCCAAGTGTAACACAAATATAAAAGGGGGTATTTGATAAAGACGAGGGGACCCAAGTGCATTTCGAGGTAATTTGAAATGAAAATGACATGTACATTCAATGTTCATGAATTATTTTCTGCATTCTAATGCCACAGCCTTGTTTCAGACATTAATAGCCTCCCTCTTTTTCCAGGAAACATGAAGATTTCCTGCTGAGTTGCTGATCTTTTTATTAAAAACAACAACAATAAAATATAATACAAAATAATACGAATTGCCGCTCCCATCAGTCTGTTCATTGGGTGCGCTTGCCCCCACCCATCCCAAAACACCGGCAGGGCGAAGCCCTCGCCCCGGCCCAAAGGAATATTCCAAGGGCGGGAAGGACCAAGCCCCACCCAACGCCCAGGCGGGCATAGAAGCGAGCGTACCCATAACCACCAGGACCAGCACACCCACCGCTCACTGCGTGAAAGCAAAACAGAAAACATAAATAACTAAATGCAAAACATACAATAATCACATCCCCACCCTCACCCCTGATTGGAGGACCTCAAACATTATACTGGGCGTGTGTACAGTGCCTTCGGAAAGTATTCTGACCACTTGACTTTTTCCACATTTTGTTAGGTTACAGCCTTATTCTAAAATGGATTAAATCGTTTTTTCCCCTCAACAATCTACACACAATACCCCATAATGACAAAGCAAAAACTGTTTTTTATACAATTTTGCTAATAAAAAATAAAATGAAATATAACATTAACATAAGTATTCAGACCCTTTACTCAGTACTTAGTTGAAGCACATTTGGCAGCGATTACAGCCTCGGTTCTTCTTGGGTATGACGCTACAAGCTTGGCACACTTGTATTTGGGTAGTTTCTCCCATTCTTCTCTGCAGATCTTCTCAAGCTCCGTCAGGTTGGATGGGGAGCGTAGCTGCACAGCTATTTTCAGGTCTCTCCAGAGATGTTCAATCGGGTTCATGTCTGGGCTCTGACTGGGCCTCTCAAGGACATTCAGAGACTTGTCCCGAAGCCACTCCTGCGTTGTCTTGGCTGTGTGCTTAGGGTCGTTGTCCTGTTGGATAGTCAACCTTCACCCCAGTCTGAGTAATCTGGAGCAGGTTTTCATCAAGGATCTCTCTGTACTTTGCTCCGTTCATCTTTGCCTTGATCCTGACTAGTCTCCCAGTCCCTGCCGCTGAAAAACATCCCCACAGCATGATGCTGCCACCACCATGCTTCACCGTACGGATGGTGCCTGGTTTCCTCCAGACGTGATGCTTGGCATTCAAAGAAAATCTAATTTTATTTGTCACATGCGCCGAATACAACAGGTGTAGACCTTACAGTGAAATGCTTACTTAAAGGCCCTTAACCAACAATGCAGTTCAAGAAATAGGGTTAAGAAAATATTTACAAAAAATTTGTTTTATATATATATACAATAAAAAAGTAACACAATAAAATAACAATACAGAGGCTTTATCAAGGAGTACCGGTACCGAGTCAATGTGCGGGTGTACAGGTTAGTCGAGGTAATTTGTACATGTAGGTAGGGGTAAAGTAACTATGCATTGATAATAACAGCGAGTAGCAGCAGTGTGTCAATGTAAATAGTCCGGGTGGCCGTTTAATTAATTGTTCAGCAGTCTTATGGCTTGGGGGTAGAAGCTGTTAAGGAGCCTTTTGGACCTAGACTTGGCACACCATTACCGATTGCCATGCAGTAGCAAAGAGAACAGTCTATGACTTGGGTGACTGGAATCGTTAAACATTTTTTGGGCCTGGATAGCAGGAAGCTTGGCCCCAGTGATGTACTGGGCTGTACGCACTACCTTCTGCAGCGCCTTACTGTCGGATGCCGAGCAGTTGCCATACCAGGTGGTGATCCAACCAGTCAGGATACTCTCGATGGTGCAGCTGTATAACTTTTTGAGGATCTGAGGACCCATGCCAAATCTTTTCAGTCTCCTGAGGGGGAAAAGGTTTTGTCGTGCCCTCTTCATGACTGTCTTGGTGTGTTTGGACCATGATAGTTTGTTGGTGATGTGGACACTAAGGAACTTGAAACTCTTGACCCGCTCCACTACAGCCCCGTCGGTGTGAATGGGGGCGTGTTCGGCCCTGCTTTTCCTGTAGTCCACGATCATCTCCTTTTTCTTGCTCACGTTGAGGGAGAGGTTGTTGACCTGGCACCACCCTGCCAGGTCTCTGACCTCCTCTCTATAGGCTGTCTCATTGTTGTCGGTTATCAGGCCTACCACTGTTGTGTCGTCAGCAAACTTAATGATGGTGTTGGGAGTTGTGCTTGGCCACACAGTCATGGGTGAACAGGGTCTCAGGAGGAGACTAACCACGCACCCCTGAGGGGCCCCCGTGTTGAAGATCAGCGTGACAGATGTTGTTGCCTACCCTTACCACCTGGGGGCGGCCGGTCAGGAAGTCCAGGATCCAGTTGCAGAGGGAGGTGTTTAGTCCCAGAGTCCTTAGCTTAGTGATGAGCTTTGTGGGCACTATGGTGTTGAACACTGAGCTGTAGTCAATGAACAGCATTCTCACATAGGTGTTCCTTTTGTCCTGGTGGGAAAGGGCAGTGTGCAGTGCGATTAGGATTGCGTCATCTGTGGATCTGTTGGGGCGGTATGTGAATTGGAGTGGGTCTAGGGTTTCCGGGATGATGGTGTTGATGTGAGCCATGACCAGCCTTTCAAAGCACTTCATGGCTACCGACATGAGTGCTACGGGGCGGTAGTCATTTAGGCAGGTTACCATTGCTTTCTTGGACACAAGGACTATGGTGGTCTGCTTGAAACATGTAGGTATTACAGACTCGGTCAGGGAGAGGTTGAAAATGTCAGTGAAGACACTTGCCAGTTGGTCCGCGCATGTTCTGAGTAAACGTTCTGGTATTTCGTCTGGCCCTGCGGCCTTGTGAATGTTGACCTGTTTAAAGGTCTTGTTCACATCGGCTAAGGAGAGCGTGATCACACAGTCGTCCAAAACAGCTGGTGATCTCATGCGTGCTTCAGTGTTGCTTGCCTCGAAGCGAGCATAAAAAGGCATTTAGCTCGTCTGGTAGGCTCGTTCCCTTTGTAGTCTGTAATAGTTTGCAAGCCCTGCCACATCCGAAAAGCGTCAGAGCCGGTGCAGTAGGATTCAATCTTAGTCCTGTATTGACGCTTTGCCTGTTTGATGGTTAGTCTGAGGGCATAGTGGGATTTCTTATAAGCCTCCTGATTAGTGTCCCACTGATTGAAAGCGGCAGCTCTAGCCTTTAGCTCGGTGTGGATGTTGCCTGTAATCCATGGCTTCTGGTTGGGATATGTACGTACGGTCACTGTGGGGACGACGTCGTCGATGCACTTATTGATGAAGCCGGTGACTGAGGTGGTATGCTCCTCAATGCCATTGGATGAATCCCGGAACTTATTCCAGTCTGTGCTAGCAAAACAGTCCTGTAGCATAGCATCCATGTCATCTGACCACTTTCATATTGAGCGAGTGACTGGTACTTCCTGCTTCAGTTTTTGCTTGTAAGCAGGAATCAGGAGGATAGTACTATGGTCAGATTTGCCAAATGGAGGACGAGGGAGAGGCAAAAAAGTTAAATCTTAGTTTCATCAGACCAGAGAATCTTGTTTCCCATGGTCTGAGAGAGTCTTTAGGTGCCTTTTGGCAAACTCCAAGCGGGCTGTCATGTGCCTTTTACTGTGGAGTGGCTTCCGTCTGGCCACTCTACCATAAAGGCCTAATTGGTGGAGTGCTGCAGAGATGGCTGTCCTTCTGGAAGGTTCTCCCATCTCCACAGAAGAACTCTAGAGCTCTGTCAGACTGACTATCGGATTCTTGGTCACCTCCCTGACCAAGGCCCTTCTGTCCCGATTGTTCAGTTTGGCCGGGCGGCCAGCTCTAGGAAGAGTCTTGGTGGTTCCAAACTTCTTCCATTTAAGAATGATGGAGGTCACTGTGTTCTTTGGGACCTTCAATGCTGCAGAAATGTTTTGGTACCCTTCCTCAGATCTGTGCCTCGACACAATCCTGTCTCTGAGCTCTACAGACAATTCCTTCGACATCAAGGTTTGGTTTTTGCTCTGACATGCACTGTCAACTGTGGGATCTTATATAGACAGGTGTGCCTTTCCAAATCATGTCAAATCAATTTAATTTACAACAGTTGGACTCCAATCAAGTTGTAGAAACATCAAGGATGATCAATGGAAACGGGATGCAAAGGGTCTGAATACTTATATAAATAATGTATTTCTGTTTTTTATTTTTAATACATTTGCAAAATTTCTAAAAGCCTGTTATCATTTTGTCATTATGGGGTATTGTGTGTAGATTGCTGAGGATTCTTTAAAAAAAAATCCATTTTAGAATAAGGCTGTGGCGTAACACAATGTGGAAAAAGTCAAGGGGTCTGAATACTTGCCGAAGGCACTCTATGTATTTATTCCCACACTCATTAATTCCAACCTTAAGACAGCCACAGATCAACCCATTTTTCTCGGTAGACAGCCACAGATCCCACAGTTGACAGTGCATGGTCCTCTGTAGCTCAATTGGTAGAGCATGGCGCTTGTAACGCCAGGTTAGTGGGTTCGATCCCCGGGACCACCCATACGTAAAAATGTATGCACGCATGACTGTAAATCGCTTTGGATAAAAGCGTCTGCTAAATGGCATATTATTATTATTATTATTATCATTCTACCTTTTCCTCATGAAATACATCCCTTCATTCTACCATGGTGTCTCACTAGGGACTTGAACCTCCCCATCTGCAACATTTCTGTCTAAATTTCCCCATAAATAAACATTTTATCCAAGAGCACAATGATATTTCCTATTGACTGACTGTGGTCCAACCGCACCCTGATATTATGGCATAACAACCATTCCTGGACCTGACTCCAAAAACAAGCCACGATGGACAGTACCAAAAGAGATCTTCTATTGATTCTGTTTCCGCGTGGCAGAGCCTGCACAAGGCTGACTGTTCAATGCCACATATACAGAGCATTATTTTTATAGTGAGAATGTTATATAATAGCTTAAATTGAAAATAAAGGATTCATGCGTCAATTGTTGTTTTGTATATCAGTTCATAAACCCGATGCCATGGTATTGGGACATCGTAAATCTGTTCCCAACTATCTTGAATTTTATGCGGCATAGTTGTTAACCCTCTTGACTGTAAATGAAACTGACACATTTTACAATTTATATTGGTCATTTTAAACCATTTATGATTTTTAATTGGTGGCAGACAAACTCTTTTCTCTTTTAAGTAATTGCCTCTTCCATTTTTGTGGCAGAGCTGCGATGAGTTGGTTATAATTTTGTATTGAGCATACATCTCCATACACCTTGATTAATTGCTTGTATGACAATTTTAACATAATTGATTACAATGTACATCATAAACATGATACCTTATACTATACATTCTCTTCAAAAACATTGGTTCACCCTCAATCAGTACATTGAAGTTTAGCCATATTATTTGCTGTAATAACTGTTCTGCCTTTTCTGGAGGATAGCATTTGAATTGTAGCCAACTCTGTATGGCTTCATTTAAAAAGGAGCATACTTTAAACAGGGTTCCATTGTCAATCCACCGAAAATGGATGGTTTTAATCTGTATAACAGCAAAGAGACCCCTTTTAAGCATCGGATGTGCCTCTCTTAGTAGCTTACTGGAATTAAATATTGCATTTGTAATAATGACATTCTACACTAATAGTCGTGAACTCAGAGGGTGAGTGTGTTCTCTCTGATATGCAACAGCCCTGATTAAAAACCAACCAAGGCGCCATGTTCACACACAAGAGACAAGTACAAGCGCCGTGCTGGAATCCTTCCCAGCGATCTATACAAAAAGGATGTGTATTTCCTAGCAACCAGAGAAGGGCTCCCTGAAGAATGTGTTAATTGCCAGGCCTATGCCATTCTGGAACAGCGCCGAGTTCAATCAGTGCCACACCCAACCCCCACCAAACTCGCACACACGGACCCACACACACACACGGACCCACACACACACGGACCCACACAGAGAGAGAAAAAAGCTCACACACACACAGCCCCTGCACCCAATGTGCTCATGCTGGGGGTGCATGGTCCCCCATTCTGGAAAACATTGTTTTAGTAAATGTGTTTTATTGGGCAGCGCACCACATTTGACCACACCGACTGAGTCATAATCAAAACAACAGTCACTGATTTACCCGCTGCAAAGCTACACAGCAGGAATGAGGCGCTGAGTGGGGCCCTTTTCTTTACACGAGATGTATTTTCTTAATACCAGACAAAAAGCTGGCGGGCACTTTGCATACCACTGAGTTGTAGGGCTGTGACAATACCAGCATCGCAATATTCTTTCCTTGACAAAAATGAAAACACAAAGCAGACCAAACTCTTTGGTCCTTTAAAAACCTACTGTATGTCAAATAGTGTGCTATAGCTTGGAAAATAAATAAACATGACTCTGGATGACAACATGATGTTTGTTTCCGACACTAGGGCTACTTTCCTAAATAAATTTAATCTGCTTCATGTTTTGAACCAGACACAGCCACACACACTTGGAGCAATGACCGTACTTTGATAGAAGGATGATTTGGGGTATGAGACGGACCTGTGTGACTGACTTCTCTGGTCCTCTGGTCTCGTTGTGGATGCAGTACTCAGGCATCCACTGGACATGGTAACGACTCACCAGAGGATCTGGAAGGAGAGGAGGAAGACAGAGAGGAGGAGGAGGAAGAGAGAGAGGAGGAGGAGGAGAGAAATGAGGAGGAAGAGAGAGAGGAGGAAGAGAGTTGAGGAGGAGGAAGAGAGAGATGAGGATGAGGAAGAGAGAGAGGAGGAGGAGAGGTATGAGGAGGAAGAGAGAGATGAGGAAGAGAGAGATGAGGAGGAGGAAGAGAGAGATGAGGAGGAGAAGAGAGAGATGAGGAGGAGGAAGAGAGAGATGAGGAGGAGGAAGAGAGAGATGAGGAAGAGAGAGAGGAGGAGGAGGAAGAGAGAGAGGAGGAGGAAGAGGGAGATGAGGAGGAGGAAGAGAGAGGAGGAGTAGGAGGAAGAGAGAGAAGAGGAGGAGGAGGAAGAGAGAGAAGAGGAGGAGGAGGAAGAGAGAGGAGGAGGAGGAAGAGAGAGGAGGAGGAAGAGAGAGGAGGAGGAAGAAAGATGAGGAGGAGGAGAGATGAGGAGAGATGAGGAGGAGGAGGAGGAAGAGCGAGAGGAGGAGGAGGAAGAGAGAGAGGAGGAGGAGGAAGAGAGAGGAGGAGGAGGAAGAGAGAGATGAGAGCGTACTCAATGACCTGGTGCAAAAACAACAACAAAGGACTCATGACAAAGATTATCAGACATGATTCATGCTTGTTGGATAAAATGATCTTATCGTATAATAAATGATCTTACAATAACACCCAGTCAGTGTCTGAGTACTCTCTATTACTGTCCCACCATCAGTCTGATCTTATCAGGCATCAACAGATGCTGCTGAAACACTATCTGGTGAAATGCTTTAAAACACGATTCTTAAATTTCCTACTGTGACTCATCTCAATATTACACTAATGTCAACAGAATAAAAGAAGAAATAAAAAGCATTTGAATTTGACTAAATACGTACATTCAAATATTTATCCTAAATGTTGTGTTGAACCATCTCATCAGCGGAACGTGGCCATGTTTAAAGGCCTACCCTCAGCAATGGTGAACCAGCCCCAGCGCCAGTCCCAAACCTCGGCCCCAGCCCCAGTTCGCTTCATTACTAAACCGTAGTCCCTCATAGGCTAATCAGCACTGTTTATGCTCCCATTGCCCCCTGTTATTTTACAGGAATTATTATTCATCTGGCTGTGTGTGTTCAGATGTGAAATTATACTTCTCCGATTAATAATTTAGTTACGCTGTGTTAGCCCTTGGCAGGAGCCTGGATTGCGGTCGGGAGATAAAAGGAGGCCTTTGAAGGTTTCGACACGGATCTGGCGTGCTCAGCCTCCCAGCAGTTTGGAAGTAGAAGAGAGGAATTAAGGGGAAGCGGGAATAAACAAGATATGCGTAGCCGAGCTGACAGAGAGGAAGAGGTATGTAAAACAAGGGAAGGAACATTAAATCAGGTATAGAGCAGCGCGGCAGAGTTACATAAATCATGGCTGAGAGCTTGCCTCAGAAGTCTACTGACCGCCGCCGCTATTACTGTCTGTCTGTCTGTCTGTCTGTCTGTCTGTCTGTCTGTCTGTCTGTCTGTCTGTCTGTCTGTCTGTCTGTCTGTCTGTCTGTCTGTCTGTCTGTCTGTCTGTCTGTCTGTCTGTCTGTCTGTCTGTCTGTCTGTCTGTCTGTCTGTCTGTCTGTCTGTCTGTCTGTCTGTCTGTCTGTCTGTCTGTCTGTCTCTCTGTGTCTGTCTCTCTGTGTCTGTCTCTCTGTGTCTGTCTCTCTGTGTCTGTGGGTCTCTCTGTGTCTGTGGGTCTCTCTGTGTCTGTGGGTCTCTCTGTGTCTGTGGGTCTCTCTGTGTCTGTGGGTCTGTGTGTCTGTTTCTGTGTGTGAGCCAGGCAGTGATACACTATCTCATCCTCTGAGACACTCCTTTATAAACCTGTCTCATGAAACAGCACAGACATTACTACTAGACCAGATGGGTCCCAATGTTGAGCTGCCTCAGAATGAGTGAGTGCAGTAATCAGCAGCGTTCAGTTAATCTGTCCTTCAGTCTGAAGTTCTGAACACAGAGTCTGATGAAGAGAAACCTGATCCTAGGCTATCAGTGACCAGGTTTCTCGCTCTCTCTCTTTCCTCCAGTATAACCCGGGTGGTCAGATGGAGACCCAGAGCCATCCATCATCAGCCCAGTTCGAGGCTGAGTCTGTGCCCACCACACCACCACCCTGCCAGACTAGGACTGTAGTCATCCACCCAAGCTAGGCCATGGGGCGAGCCCAGAACTAACTCCACAACACTCTGGGACTGAAAGCTTAGCCAACCCAGTCACAATCACTCAGCCTCCGGAGCCCGGGCCAGCCCTGCTAATCACTCTGGACCAGGAAGACTCTCCCTCTCTTCTCGGTCTCTTTCTCTCTCTCTCTGCGATTCAGCAGATGGCCTCTCCATCAGAAACACCACTGGGCCTCTCCTCTCCTCTCCCCAGCCAGGCCAGCCTGGGCATTCCTGCCTCCACTCTGTGGAGCTTGGCTTGGGCGATGACATATATTAGCAACATAACATAGTCCAGTGAATGGGTCTTGACAGGCTACCTTTGGAGCACGCCTTTCAAGGTTTCCATATTTTCGTAGGGGCTGGGGAACGGAGTCTAAGGAGTATGTGGACACTGCTGTGCGAGACTTTTTCGGTGAATGTTTTAACCCTTTCACGTCCTCCTTGTGTGTGTGTTTCTGGAGGGTGATGTCAGGTCTTTAAAACAAAATTGACGGTTTCAACACTAATATGAGAGAGGGCTCATATTAACTACAGCTGTCAATAAACCCCATCATATAGAGCTCCCCTCGTTCCCTGTGTTTATTGTTCTTCAGCTAACAGAACCTCCTAGACCTCCGCTCCTCCTGGTTCACGTGTAGACATTGATTAGCCAATAAAAGAATGCAGGGTGCCTGATGAAGGGCAGAATGATGTGGTAATTACAGTAGGGATGGCGCCAAGGCCCACATACGGTACAATAATACGGTACGTACCTCCCCGGTTCTTCCAGTAAATGCGGACCTGTAGCTGGCCGTCCTGGTAGAAGGGTGTGCCCACCTCTAGAGGGCCGGCCGGGCGCTTACCAAGGGTGGAGCCAACGGGCATCATCACCTCCTCCTTCTCTTTCACTGGGTTGGAGAAGGAAAATACATTTGATTTCTAGTCCAGTTCATCTCATAAAAGCTCAAAATGCAGCTCTAAGCTCTAATATGGGAAGGTAACAGTATGTTTAAACATCTATGATCGTACCAATAGTTATGCTAATAAATACTGTAAAATGAATTCATAAAAACTATCAAACAGCATCATTATTTATCACTAAGTCAGATGAGTACAGCCTTGTTGAGACTCAATGTCCCATGATGCCTTACCAGAGTCGTTGTTCTGGGTGGCGGTGCTGAAGAGGAGCGATGCCTTGGAGCTCTTCAGACGAACCTGACCCCAGTAGGTGACTGCCTGCAGCTCCACTGTGTAGTTATTGTTAGTCAGCAGGCCCTCCAGATCCACCCAGCTCTGGGCCTGAAACCAGAGACAACACCACGTCAACCACAGCCAATGTGGCCAGACCACAGTCATGTCACTCAAACCAGATGACTCAGATCCCTGTCCCAGTCTAGTCTAGGCCATTCCAGTCCCAGCCCAGGCTAGCCCAGTCCCAGTCCCAGCCCAAGCCAGGTCTTTGGGAATAAGAACCATCCTTATTGGGAACACGTGTGCTGATCTAAACCAACATGGAGAGAGAGGAGATAGTGATAGAGTCCCAGGCCTGAGGCTTTACGGTCCGTGTGAGGGAGCCGTGTTATCCCCATCCCCTGGGGCTTCATTACGTTGGGTTTAGGTCTCAGCATTCCTCCAGCAGCATGGGCCTGATAGGCTCCAGTTATTGACCAGTGCTTGTTTTGACATTCCACCATCAGCAGGTAGCTTTCAAAGCCCTGAGGTGCCAAAGTGGAAACCAGCAGTACATGTGTCAATAGATATCTGGTGTCTCCCAGCTTTCTCACCTCCACGCCACATCTGCATCTGGTTACCAACACTAATTCCGGATTCTAAATCAGCACAAGTGGCAGGACTGTCTAGACAATAGCGTTTTTGCTTTATTCTTCATAGCGATGCTAAGCTAAACAGACATTTGAGACTATTGCACTTGTTATACCACTTCATTTGACAGTTTATTCATTGTTATCCAATTACTAAGAAACCACTGGGCTAAAGGAGCTGGACTTATCCTATGTTACCAGTAGTCAGTCTAAACAATAGTAACCTTAACAAATTTGGGTTAAGTTATCCAAGGAACACATCTTCGTGACACTGTAAGATTTATCTAGCCGTAAATGAGGAAAACATTATATGTTATGTTTTCTTTCAAAGCTTAACCAAGCGTTTAAGGGGAGTTTAATTTGTTTGAGGAAATAAAACAATGAAAATGGCCTGCAGTGTGCCGTGCTGCATGAGCGATAGCTTTAAGAGTTTATGTATTTAAATGCCTTACGTTGCTGATCTTTTTCCATTGTGGGGCTTGTGGTTCTTATTTACAGTGCAGAGACTAGGGGAGCGAGGCTGAGCTTCAGATGGGTCTGATACAACCAGCCCGTCCAGGCCCGTCCAGGCCCTCGGGTGTCTGGCCTCCCAACCCGCCGACACATCACCCAGATGGGAAGAGAAGAGCCGATGCTTACCCCGTTGGTGGTCTTCCTCCTCTTCTTCTTGGACGGCACCAGCGACTTGCCGGGAACGGTCCAGCTCCAGAAGACTTTGTAGTGATGGACGGGGATGTCGGGCTCCTCGGGCAGGGTCCAGTTAAGACGGGCTGTCACCGTCCCCTCAGCACCCAGCGTGTTGGTAACACACAGGCTGGTCGGTCTGGGAGGGGCGGCGGGATCTGGAGAGAGACCAGGAACACAGTACTGTAATGTCATGTAATTCACCGCAGTTCTCCTTCTCTCTCCCTCCAGCTGTTAGGCTTTAACACAGGGACTGACTGAGGAGGATAATGTTAGACACAGAAAGACTATTGTTTCTCAATGGAAGACAGAAAGAGATCGTGTCAGAGCTGTTTTTGTTTGTCCAATTTGGGAGCGACCACAAATAACGGCGGCAGCAGAAAACTGACAGCAGCAATGTCTTTTTGGTGCTAATGAGTGGCTGGTGATTCACAGACCAATGTAAAAAAAATCAACTAGAAGGGACGATCAATTAACCACATAAATGTGTTTATCCTTGATTAAAATCATGTCAGACGTTTGGTTTAATGTATCTAACCAGGATACATTTTTACCAGCTGAGACAGCTTTGCAGTGCAGCTGAGAGGCCAGAATAAGAGGGGCCCATATGAGAGGTGCCCAGCCAGTATGATGATGTAAAGTCATTAGTCCACCACTGACAATCTGTCATGAAATGTTATGACAGGTGTCATGTCACGTCTATGACAGCGTTACACTGGACGGAGAGCTCGGCTCAACGGTCACCAAACACATTCTGCTCACTTTGGCTCAACCTTCACATTCCATCTTAACTTGACTCTACCTAGTGCGCGTGTGTGTGTGTGTGTACGTCCGAGTGTGCGTGCGTGCGTGTGTAAGATGCTGTTTCGGAGCTGGTTTTGAGGCTGGCCAGATGGGGTCTGCCCCAGGATTGCTGCCGGCTGCCGCATATAGTCAGTACTGATGTCAGGCCAGGGGTCCCAGGCAGGGCCAGGCAGAGGCAGGGCCAGGCAGAGGCAGAGCCAGGGGTCCCAGGCAGGGCCAGGCAGAGGCAGGACCAGGCAGAGGCAGGGCCAGGGGTCCCAGGCAGGGCCAGGCAGAGGCAGGGCCAGGGCCAGGCAGAGGCAGGGCCAGGGGTCCCAGGCAGGGCCAGGCAGAGGCAGGGCCAGGGGTCCCAGGCAGGGCCAGGCAGAGGCAGGGCCAGGCAGAGCCAGGCAGAGGCAGGGCCAGGGGTCCCAGGCAGGGCCAGGCAGAGGCAGGGCCAGGGGTCCCAGGCAGGGCCAGGCAGAGGCAGAGGCAGGGCCAGGCAGAGGCAGGGCCAGGGGTCCCAGGCAGGGCCAGGCAGACGCAGGGCCAGGCAGAGCCAGGCAGAGGCAGGGCCAGGGGTCCCAGGCAGGGCCAGGCAGAGGCAGAGGCAGGGCCAGGGGTCCCAGGCAGGGCCAGGTAGAGGCAGGGCCAGGCAGAGGCAGGGCCAGGGCCAGGGGTCCCAGGCAAGGCCAGGCAGAGGTAGGGCCAGATGCCAGACCAGAGGGAATGGGCTCTAAATGAGAAAATGATGGAGACTACAGCCCTGTTACTGTTAGCTCATCACCCCTTCCTTCCCTCTCCACCTGAAATACATTTGAGGTGGTTTCAAAGTGCAATTGGACACATCGTTTCAGAGTGAACAAGCTAATGTTATCCATGCTATATAAATAAGCAGTGAGTTTTTTGCAAATTGCCCAAACAAAGTATGGTGGTGAGAAATTGCAATCAGATGATCAGGCTGAGCTATGTAAATAACAATGGAATGACAAAATCAATCGCTCATCAAATCTGTGACAGCTCTCATCCATCCATCAGCGTTGTGAGACTGATGGGACTGATTGGAGGTCCGTTTCCAGGCCTGCAGCACAATCCGGTTTCCACCTGGTGTCTGGTGATGTCACGCAGCCCGTCAGAACACCCAGGGGACTGCATGTTACAATATAAATGACAAGGAAGGTCATTCAGGCAGCATGTACAGTGAGGGAAAAAAGTATTTGATCCCCTGCTGATTTTGTACGTTTGCCCACTGACAAAGACATGATCAGTCTATACTTTTAATGGTAGGTTTATTTGAACAGTGAACAGTGAGAATAACAACAAAAAAATCCAGAAAAACAAATTTCAAAAATGTTATAAATTGATTTGCATTTTAATGAGGGAAATAAGTATTTGACCCCTCTGCAAAACATTACTTAGTACTTGGTGGCAAAACCCTTGTTGGCAATCACAGAGGTCAGACGTTTCTTGTAGTTGGCCACCAGGTTTGCACACATCTCAGGAGGGATTTTGTCCCACTCCTCTTTGCAGATCTTCTCCAAGTCATTAAGGTTTCGAGCCTGACGTTTGGCAACTCGGACCTTCAGCTCCCTCCACAGATTTTCTATGGGATTAAGGTCTGGAGACTGGCTAGGCCACTCCAGGACCTTAATGTGCTTCTTCTTGAGCCACTCCTTTGTTGCCTTGGCCATGTGTTTTGGGTCATTGTCATGCTGGAATATCCATCCACGACCCATTTTCAATGCCCTGGCTGAGGGAATGAGGTTCTCACCCAAGATTTGACGGTACATGGCCCCGTCCATCGTCCCTTTGATGCGGTGAAGTTGTCCTGTCCCCTTAGCAGAAAAACACCCCCAAAGCATAATGTTTCCACCTCCATGTTTGACGGTGGGGATGGTGTTCTTGGGGTCATAGGCAACATTCCTCCTCCTCCAAACACGGTGAGTTGAGTTGATGCCAAAGAGCTCCATTTTGGTCTCATCTGACCACAACACTTTCACCCAGTTCTCCTCTGAATCATTCAGATGTTCATTGGCAAACTTCAGACAGGCCTGTGTATGTGCTTTCTTGAGCAGGGGGACCTTGCGGGCGCTGCATGATTTCAGTCCTTCACGGCGTAGTGTGTTACCAATTGTTTTCTTGGTGACTATGGTCCCAGCTGCCTTGAGATCATTGACAAGATCCTCCCGTGTAGTTCTGGGCTGAATCCTCACCGTTCTCATGAACATTGCAACTCCACAAGGTGAGATCTTGCATTGAGCCCCAGGCCGTGGGAGATTGACAGGTCTTTTGTGTTTCTTCCATTTGCGAATAATCGCACCAACTGTTGTCACCTTCTCACCAAGCTGCTTGGCGATGGTCTTGTAGCCCATTCCAGTCTTGTGTAGGTCTACAATCTTGTCCCTGACATCCTTGGAGAGCTCTTTGGTCTTGGCCATGGTGGAGAGTTTGGAATCTGATTGATTGATTGCTTCTGTGGACAGGTGTCTTTTATACAGGTAACAAACTGAGATTAGGAGCACTCCCTTTAAGAGTGTGCTCCTAATCTCAGCTCGTTACCTGTATAAAAGACACCTGGGAGCCAGAAATCTTTCTGATTGAGAGGGGGTCAAATACTTATTTCCCTCATTAAAATGCAAATCAATTTATAACATTTTTGACATGCGTTTTTCTGGATTTTTGTTGTTGTTATTCTGTCTCTCACTGTTTAAATAAACCTACCATTAAAATGATAGACTGATCATTTTTTTGTCAAACGTACAAAATCAGCAGGGGATCAAATACTTTTTTCCCTCACTGTAGTTACCGCTACCACAAAACACATGAGGATGACTTCAGCCTTTGCACGAAGCAAGGTGGTTTGTTTTGGTTCCCTGGTGAATATTGCACCATTATCTTGTCATAGACTATGTAAAAAAATCATTAATTACTTCCTCAGCTATTCATATTGAAGATGAAGACAAAGGTGGTCCCTGCTAGACAAAATCTCCACGCAAAGGCATGTTGGTAAAGCAAACACACCACAAGAACTCAGACGAAGGGCCAAATCCTGAGCCAGTTCAACTTGATCCAAGTGCACTGCAGTACGCTACACACAGCTCTGCCTCTACACCTCAAACCAACAGGCCCTATCTGTTCAACATCAGATTAAACCTAAACACAATATTACATTCATAAACCTGTAATCCAGACTAAAGAGCTATTTAGTGTCATTCAAAGTGGGAACACTCAGAGTAGTACAGGCATCAGCACAGCCTCAGCCCACTATCAAACACAGTGATAATCTGTAGCACAGATCTGAAGCACTGAGCAGCCTACCTTACCTCATTCTCCCTGGAAGCCAGACAATAACTTACATGCAGTTGAAGCCTGCAATATCCTGACTAATTCAGACATATTACATTTTATACGGCTGTAAAGACGGAAAGCCCCACCTTTGAAGAGTTAAACGTACAAAGGTCTGGTTGCATCGCTATGCAGAAAAGTACATGTTCTGCACACACAGGGGTTTCTGATGACTCTCTGTGCTCTGTTTGGCATCAGTGTGCATCAATTTCCATTTAGCTCAACGGACAACTTTAGGGACGGAGGGGCGAGGAATGCTTAGCAAATGCTAATCCGATTGAAGGTTCAGGTTTGTCAGGTAGGGTAAAGAAAAATCAACGGCTTACGTATGGTTGTGATGGATTTTGAAGACACTGTGCCAAAACCATTTTGCTATTTGCTTTTAATAAATGTGAACATTACGGGTGTAATCTTGCAGATTATTCCAGCACAGGAACAATGTTACGTTCCTGCAGCGTAGGTTTTTCCCTCACTGCAGGGTTGATTGAATTTAAGGCAAAAGTCACAGACACACATTAACACAAATTAACACAAATGGGGAAATTGGCCGTTACTGAGGCAAATCAGGCTGTAAAGGATTGTCCCAAAGTCGCAACCTGTTCATAGGCCTTGACTGTAGCAAATGGAGGGGATAGGATGTCACACAGGAACTGACACTCAGAGTAGGGGCCACACACACACAACCCCCCAACCCTCACACACACACACACACACACACACACACACACCCACCCAGACACAGACGTAGCCTACCTCTGGAGGAGCGGAAGTGCTTGCTGGGGGCAGTAAACCCGCGGGTCCCATGTACGTTAACGGCCGCCACTCTGAACTGGTACCATCTGCTGGCTCTGATGTCGGCCAGTTGGATGCGCTCCTCTGTAGTCTGAGCGACAGAAGGGAAAGAGCAGGCACACAGGGGTTAAAGGTCACACAGGGTCGCGGCTTGTGTGAGTGTTGCTGCCACATCAGTCATCTGTCTGTTTCTCTTTGCCAAACTTTCAAAGACACTGCGACTAAGGAATGTGCAACAGTGTGCAACAGTGTGAGTGAGTGCAGCACTTCCACAGCTGTGGAGTAGCACACCAGCTTTGTTATGTTTATCTCTTTTGTGGAAAACGTATTATGGTTTAGTTTTAGGGTTTGTTTTTCCACCAAAGAATGCATCACTGACTCTTTATCTTCCTAGAAAGCACTGACCATGCAATTCATTTAGGATAATTATTTGATTATGATATACTGTATGTGAATGATAGAGCAATCCATTGAGGTACTCAGAGAAGGAGCCTGGTGTGGTGTGGGGCCCTACCTGTGCCACAGTCTCCCACTCTGTGGCGTCGTCCTCACTGGGGTGGATGCCATAGTTCCAGCGGCGCTGCACCACGTACAGGACAGGCTCCACAGAGATGTTGAACTTAGACGACCAGCGGATATCCAGGCCTCCGGACAGCTGCTCCACAAACACCAACTCCTTCCTGGGCTTCAGGGGTGCTCCTGAGAACATACACATGACATCATCACTGTGAGACGGCGTTTGGGAGAGAATGGGGCATGACATCATCACTGTGAGTGACTTTAGGCAGAGAGGAAGAGGCGAAGCCAGAGGATTTAGATAGATAAGCCCTTTTTTGTATGGAGGTCTATGAGAGAGTGTCGAATTACGTGAGGCTTATTTGAATGTTTAGGCTGTTACAAATGTACTAATATCACATGGCATTACGGCAACTTTGAGAAAAACCACTTAGTTATGCCTGTTGTTCAAATGCGTATCTGCCCTCTCATTGTCTAGAATGGTCCCACCTGATCTCGCCTGCCTTCAGTCATTGAGGACATGTATTTCCATTGTTAGAGCGGTCACTTGGCTATCTTGTCAATATAATAGATAATGTTTGCTTGAGGACATACATATGACATCATCACTGTGAGAGAAACATGACATCACCGATTTGAGATTGACAGACACCGCGAGACAGACACTGTCCGCTGGGTCAATAGCATGGTCATTGTGCTGTGACGGACCGTGATATACTCTTGGATAGAGAGAGAATGTATTTTACCAGCTGTCTCTTTGGGGAGGACACAGATAGTTAGCCTCTGGGTATGTAAGGTAGTGGAAAGCCGAGGAGCTTACATTATCTTCTCTCCATGTCAAAACACACGCATACACAGACGCACACACACACGCACACACAGGTACACACACACACACACACACGTATACACTCCATTTGCCACATTGTTCCTCACATTCAACCCATTCAAACTCTGTCAATGTGCCCATGTGCGATAAATTCGATTTATTAAGTGCAGGGTGGAGGAAAAAGTGAGCGGCCATGACAGATTAACTCTCTCCTGGAGGATTTATTTCAGCTGAGATGTAGTGAGTTATTGATTGAGCAGCGGGCTGAGTGTTAATGAGATGGAGATTGGAAACGCAGCGTTCAAGAGTACAGAAGAACACTGAATAAATCCCACATCTCTCGATAAATCACCTGACGTTGTCACACACTTACTTACCCAAGGACCTCTCGAACCGAGGAGAGCGAGCACCTAGTGCTGCTCTGCATTCATGAAATGCACAGAGTATAAACACACAGACTCAAGTCAAAGTAACTGCAAACAAGGTGCTCAAAATAGTGTTGAATTGCCTGGGCTGCATAAGCAGGCTGCTTGAACTTGTTACATCTCTATTGAGGCTTTTAGAGGCTTTATAACGTGATTGATTGAAACTCATTAAATGCCGGGTGGGAGATGAAGGTGGGCCCATTTGCCAGACACATATGGAATCAGTCTTGAGTCTCGTAGATAGAGGCTCTACACAGAGGAACAGCTGTGTGCCATTGTGTTGAGGTTTCACAGCTCCAGTGTGTGTGTGTATGACGAACACACTAACAATACCACAGCATTCCTACTCACTCCGCCATGATTCATCTTCCCTCAGCCACACACACAGCCATAGACACACACACAGATGCAGACATACACACACCCAGTCTCTTCATCCATCAACCATCCACATGCAGCAAAGTGACAAATCCTAAACCCTCTCTTAGCTCGCCCCCCTACAAAGATTACCACTATGGGGCCAGATCTCATCCAAGAACTGTACTAGCAGGATTCATCTTTCAATGGCCACATGTTTGCTCTGCCCCATCCAAAAAACAGAACCATGACGTTAACCTTGTTGAACAGTCATCAAGAGCTGAGCATTCATTCATGTCTTGTGCATTCCAACAATAACGTTCCTGGATTATAATTCTGGGTGCACACGCACACACTGTCATAATGACCTGGCTAATTACGAGGGACGTGGCAAACAAGCACCAATCAAGGTGGGAGGAACACATCCAACAACACATTCTTCAAAGGGTGGTTGTAGTACAATTGCCTCCCATAGACTTCAAACACTGATGAGTGCTCAGTGTCATGGCATGGTTCCCAGAGTCATTAATATACATGGTTATATGTCTCTGATGGTTAACAATGAAGATATGCTTCACATGTTACGTGCATCAAATGACTGTCTTTGTTTTGGAGTACTGAGCCAGCGATACATACATCCACACCACAGGATGGTCATGCACTGTTCAATCTTTTAAATCCTTTAGCGGTGTGGAGCTGTGAACGGCTGGGGAGGGAGACGGCTGGCTGGTGAGTGTGAGGATCAAGCATCACAGTGTCTCCAGAGGGAAAGAGACCATAAGTAAAGACTGACAGATGTACATCAGGACACGGGCTGAGAACAAGACTGCCTTTCCACACTGGTGTCTCAGTGGTCTCCATTATGTGACAGAATAATAATCTATCACAAATGACTGCCAAACCATCATGGCTGAGGGAAAGGGGGAGAGAAGGGGGGAGAGATATCTTATTCACAACTCCACTTTGCTAGTACAGCTTTGAACAGAAAATAAGATGTTACAGTCTAGTGAATAGTATGTAATATCACTGGGTTATATTGATGTCAAGAGAAAAGCTCTACATATGGGACCAAGGCCCTGTAGTGGTCTTCTGTGTATTTGTGTTCAAAAGACATAAACGCACAAAGAGCTCTGCTTTCTACAACCAACTCTTCCTCTGTCGCACACTCGCAGGGGACCTTCACCTGCACGCACACACACACACACACACATCTGAGAGCGATCTCCACGGGGGAAACGCTCCATTTCACCCAGCTCGCGTCGAAATAATGGCTTCCAGCATTATGGATAATCCTGAACACACTTGTGCACATACAGAAACAATTACTCTTTCCACACCGTGAGCACATAATTACACCTTCAACAATGGAGATCAGGATTGGAATTCAATCATTACTTAAAGCAGACTGCTAATTAAAATGTGTAAATCTGATACCAATACAGATCAATCATAGGCTAGGTGTTTGGATTTACAGGACAGTCAACTGTTTGGCTCTATACGTTTGTCTGTTCTCTACAGTGAATGTACACTACCGGTCAAAAGTTTTAAAACACCTACTCATTCAAGGGTTTTTCTTTATTTTTACTATTTTCTACATTGTGGAATAATAGTGAAGACATCAAAACTATGAAATATCACATATGGAATCATGTAGTAACCAAAAAAGTGTTAAACAAATCCAAATACAGTGGGGAGAACAAGTATTTGATACACTGCCGATTTTGCAGGTTGTCATACTTACAAAGCATGTAGAGGTCTGTAATTTTTTATCATAGGTACACTTCAACTGTGAGAGACGGAATCTAAAACAAAAATCTAGAAAATCACATTGTATGATTTTTAAGTAATTAATTTGCATTTTATTGCATGACAAAGGTATTTGATACATCAGAAAAGCAGAACTTAATATTTGGTACAGAAACCTTTGTTTGCAATTACAGAGATCATACGTTTCCTGTAGGTCTTGACCAGGTTTGCACACACTGCAGCAGGGATTTTGGCCCACTCCTCCATACAGACCTTCTCCAGATCCTTCAGGTTTCGGGGCTGTCACTGGGCAATACGGACTTTCAGCTCCCTCCAAAGATGTTCTATTGGGTTCAGGTCTGGAGACTGGCTAGGCTACTCCAGGACCTTGAGATGCTTCTTACGGAGCCACTCCTTAGTTGCCCTGGCTGTGTGTTTCGGGTCGTTGTCATGCTGGAAGACCCAGCCACGACCCATCTTCAATGCCCTTACTGAGGGAAGGAGGTTGTTGGCCAAGATCTCGATACATGGCCCCATCCATCCTCCCCTCAATACGGTGCAGTCGTCCTGTTCTTGGGGTTGTACTAATACTTCTTCCTCCAAACACGGCGAGTGGAGTTTAGACCAAAAAGCTCTATTTTTGTCTTATCAGACCACATGACCTTCTCCATTCCTCCTCTGGATCATCCAGATGGTCATTGGCAAACTTCAGACGGGCCTGGACATGCGCTGGCTTGAGCAGGGGAACCTTGCGTGCGCTGCAGGATTTTAATCCATGACGGCGTAGTGTGTTACTAATGGTGTTCTTTGAGACTGTGGTCCCAGCTCTCTTCAGGTCATTGACCAGGTCCTGCCGTGTAGTTCTGGGCTGATCCCTCACCTTCCTCATGATAATTGATGCCCCACGAGGTGAGATCTTGCATGGAGCCCCAGACCGAGGGTGATTGACCATCATCTTGAACTTCTTCCATTTTCTAATAATTGCGCCAACAGTTGTTGCCTTCTCACCAAGCTGCTTGCCTATTGTCCTGTATCCCATCCCAGCCTTGTGCAGGTCTACAATTCTATCCCTGATGTCCTTACACAGCTCTCTGGTCTTGGCCATTGTGGAGAGGTTGGAGTCTGTTTGATTGAGTGTGTGGACAGGTGTCTTTTATACAGGTAATGAGTTCAAACAGGTGCAGTTAATACAGGTAATGAGTGGAGAACAGGAGGACTTCTTAAAGAAAAACTAACATGTCTGTGAGAGCCGGAATTCTTACTGGTTGGTGGGTGATCAAATACTTATGTCATGCAATAAAATGCAAATTAATTACTTAAAAATCATACAATGTGATTTTCTGGATTTTTGTTTTAGATTCCGTCTCTCACAGATGAAGTGTACCTATGATAAAAATTACAGACCTCTACATGCTTTGTAAGTAGGAAAACCTTCAAAATCAGCAGTGTATCAAATACTTGTTCTCCCCACTGTATATTTTATATTTGAGATTCTTCAAATAGCCACCCTTTGCCTTGATGACAGCTTTGCACACTCTTGGCATTCTCTCAACCAGCTTCATGAGGTAGTCACCTGGAATGCATTTCAATTAACAGGTGTGTCTTCTTAAAAGTTAATTTGTGGAATTTATTTCCTTCTTAATGTGTTTGAGCCAATCAGTTGGAAAACTTTGAAAGTTTATTTAAGTGCAGTCGCAAAAACCATCAAGCGCTATGATGAAACCGGCTCTCATGAGGACCGTCAAAGGAATGGAAGACCCAGAGTTACCTCTGCTTTCAAAGTTCTTGAAATGTTCCGTATTGACTGACCTTCATGTCTTAAAGTAATGATGGACTGCCATTTCTCTTTGCTTATTTGAGTTGTTCTTGACATAATATGGACTTGGTCTTTTACCAAATAGGGCTATCTTCTGTATACCCCCCCTACCTTGTCACAACACAACTGATTGGCTCAAACACATTAAGAAGGAAATAAATTCCACAAATTAACTTTTAAGAAGACACACCTGTTAATTGAAATGCATTCCAGGTCAAGCTGGTTGAGAGAATGCCAAGAGTGTGCAAAGCTGTCATCAAGGCAAAGGGTGGCTATTTGAAGAATCTCAAATATAAAATATATTTTGATTTGTTTAACACTTTTTTGTTTACTACATGATTCAATATGTGTTATTTCATAGTTTTGATGTCTTCACTATTATTCTACAATGTAGAAAATAGTAAAGATAAAGAAAAACCCTTGAATGAGTAGGTGTTCTAAAACTTTTGACTGGTAGTGTATCTAATTGTACAGTATATTCCTGTACTCAACTCCTCAATAATACCCCTCCTTTTATCTTTCTCCATCTACACAGGCTGTGAATCTCCTAGCCATGACACTGCCTTTACTGTACATCCATTCGCTCAGAATATATTAATGCACGCTTCAACACACACACACTCCCCCACCCCGTACACACACACACACACGTCTGTGTGTGCACTTCAAAAGTAAATCACAGCTCTGTCACTGCAGTGCTTCAAAGACTGAAAGAAAGGCTTTTCACTGAGCCCAGTTCCACTTCTCCTGCCTTGTGCCTTGTTATGGTCCAAGGCTGTCAGCAGCCAGAGAGAGTCAGTGTGCTGCTGACACACACAACTGAAGAAGATCCAGCTTCCATCTCCCGGTACAGAGGCACGGAGAGTCTTCTCTCGCTCTTCCACAATGGGCTGAGAGCTCTCCTCTTCTCTCTGAACATCCAGACACCTCAGGCAGTGTCATTAAACAGTTTGACTGGAGTGGAGGTCTCTCTCTCAGTGCATCTGTTCTTTTGTGAGCCTGAAGCTGATTTGGAACAATTTCACACACTGGATGTATCATAAAATACATTATGTACAGAATGTGGGGATTGCGTGGAGACAGAGAAACTCAAGTGAAATATTGGTCTATTTTGGATCAAATTAAATGTATGGTTCACTGCATAGTTACATCGATTTTGCAGCACTACTCACGAAACTTGTAATATCCTGCATACACGAACACATACTGCTAAAAAGGCATAGCCTTGATAAATAATAATAGAAGATTATTTACAATATTCAAGGACAAAACTGAAGGCGCAGAAAGCTACAACTGCATTTGAATAACCAAATACAGTAACTAGCCAATGATGTCACATACTGCTCCTGTACTGTACATGTCATATTATGATGAGTCATTGTACCTTTGTAGAGGTTCTTGGGGGTCTGACAGGTGTGTCCGCAGCCGTTGGAGCAGCACTTCTTGACAGCGGAGCACTCTCCATCCTCCTCACAGCTCTCCACGCAGGCTGCAGCGAAGCCACTGGCCTTCTCAGGGGCCGAGCAGTCCCCCTGTTTCACCCCTTCTACAGACTTCAGGAACTCACAGCTAGTCAGACACTCATAGTGCTTCTTGGGAAAGAGGGGCTGGAGGGTAGAGTGGGACGTGGAGGTGGTAGGAGGAGGAGAGGGGGAGGAAGAGGATGAGGTATGAGGTGGAGGAGGAAGAGGAAAGGGAAGAGGAGGAGGAGGTGGACAGGAGGAAAGGGAAAGGAAAAATGTGTGTCAGATGACTTGTAGCGTTGAGTGTGTCAGGCCTTGAACAGGCAGGTCAGTGAGCTAACAGAGATTGTGCTGTTTACACTGAACCTGATGACTAGTTTGAGTGGTGAGTAAGTTAAACAGCTTTGATTCAGTCTTACACGGAGTGCCATTACATTACAGTTCATTACAGTAGAGAAAAAAGAGCCTCCACTTTACTTCGCTTGACGCTCTTCGTTCCCTCAGACTTTCCCCTTATTGAATTTTCTCCTATTGAACTCTGGAGGGAGCACTCCAACTCAAAGGCGGTGGCAGCAGTGACATACGTACCTCGCATAAGTCCTGGCACTGATTGTCCTTCAGGTCCCAGGATTCCTTGCAGGGCTCCAGGCACTGTGGAAGGGAGAAGGAAGGGTGTCAGTGCTTCAAAGAGCCAGCCACATCAAAGAGCTCAGTGTAAGCGAAGCCGGTGAGGGTGCTCGCTCTCTCTCGCCCTCGCTCTCTCTCGCTCTCAGTCTCTCTCACTCTCCTTTCTCCCTCTCTTCTCAGACTGCCAAGCACCTCACTCAGCCACTTCCACGGTACACACCACAATCAGCAGTCACACCTCTTTGTTACAGATTCCCCACATACTTCCAAAGAACATAAACAATTTTCTACAAAAGGAGGTAACAGGGGCCTCCCGAGTGGTGCAGTGGTCTAAGGCACTGCATCGCAGTGCTAGCTGTGCCACTAGAGATCCTGGTTCGATTCCAGGCTCTGTCGCAGCCGGCCGCAACCGGGAGACCCATGGGGCGGCCAACAATTGGCCCAGCGCCGTCCAGTGTAGGGGAGGGTTTGGCCGGCAGAGATGTCCTTGTCCAATCGCGCACTAGCGACTCCTGTGGCGGGCCAGGCGCAGTGCACGCTGACTCAGTCGCCAGGTGTACAGTGTTTCCTCCGGCACATTGGTGCGGCTGGCTTCCGGGTTGAGCGGGCACTGTGTCAAGAAGCAGTGCGGCTAGGTTGGGTTGTGCTTCGGAGGACGCACGACTCTCGACCTTTGCCTCTCCCGTGTCCGTACGGGAGTTGTAGCGATGGGACAAGACTGTAAATACCAATTGGATACCACGAAATTGGGGAGAAAAAGGGGGGTAAAATACAACAACAACTAAAAAAACTAAAAAAGGGTAGGTAACAGGCCAAAGGAGATTCGTTTCAGAATAGAGCAAAGAGCACAGTCACCGTGACTCCCAAAATCCATTCAATAGCTAGTATTTTTTGTCTGGCTCTTCTGCCCTTGACAAATTCCTTTCGAAAATGCATCAGCATAACCCCCAACCCCCCTCACCATCTTGCCCCCCCACCTCATGTCTGGACCTGATACAGCCTCTCTCTTTCCCTCTCTCTCTCCCTCCCAATCTCTTCCAGTTGTACACAGAGAGGATGGTTAATAGATGATACACCCAGTTAAAATGTTCTTGGGATTCCCCTTTCAAAACATGTGGAACTGTTTGGCGCGGGCATGGGATCAAAGAGGATCCTAGAAGTGACTGCAGAGCAAGTCGTTTAGCCCAACATATCGGATGAAGAATTTAAAATGAAAATACACCAATAATGGTCAAATTCCTCTCACTGTAAATACAACAGCTCGCCCTCAACAAATCAAACTCAATAAGGCTAAATGTAATAAAACATGAAAGTTCATGCATGTCCAAGGGAATCAGGCATCAGATGCCACCGCAGAAAAAGGGGCATGTGTTCAGAACCTTCATAGGATAGAGTGGCTGGAGGCTGATGTGTTCCTGGTGCTGCTAGCTGGCCACTACAGAACCAGTGGTACTGCTATAGCCAGTAGGAGAGTCTCCCAGAGAGGAACCACTGCTGGGCTGCTGCTTCTGTACAGCCACTGGGACAGGCCCAAACCACAGCGACCAGAGACCTGCCAGAGCTAGTCATTCAGCCCCATTCAATTTAGACCCTCTGCCCCAGCTCCAATACAGAGACCCAGCAGCTAACTGTCAGACTCCACCACCGCATTCCTCGTATGGGAAAGTCCAAGATGTTGGTCAGTAGGTGGGAGTTATCTTTGATGAACCAGAGATGGAGACCTTCCGTGAGAGGAGAAATGAGAGCTAGGGAGGGAACTTTTGGCCAGAGCATTCTGGATGTCTTGTTTCAATCTCAGAGAACATTACATATTAGATATATAGAGACAGAGTCATTCAATTAGCGTAACGTACAGTATGTGCCCATGTTTTACTGGTATGGTATAGAGACACCTGTATCAGAATGTCTTAAAAGGCAACAATGTAAGAAATTACACCTCTGTCAGGGAACTGTGTTTATGCGTCTTTAATCAGCTCATTAGCTGCCTCTGTCGTTATCATGCTGTTGCCAGTGAAAAGTTTACTTGCTTTTTATGGAGTGCGTAGGGCAGGCACATGTTGAAGCGTAAACCTGGCTTCTGGGAGGAACATGGAGAAATCAGGGCCCTACACTTGGGTTGCCTGCCAGTTCTCAATTACACACTGTGGTCTCTCAGTTAGCACTCGCTTTGCTCGGTCTCGCTTTCTCTCCACTCCACTCCACTCCCACGGAGCGGGTTTGGAAGAAGACCACCTGGAAACTGAGGAGGAGGAGGAGACACAGGCCTGAGAAAAGGGAGACCGAGGCGGTGGGGAAGCAGTAGTTCATATTTCCCCCAACAACTAGTATAGACTATGGTATGTGATGAGCATGAGTCCAGAATGAACCCCTGGAGATTCAAAAGAAACCATTGTGGGTTTCACAGAATTCTACAGTGGGAAAAACTGAAATAACTTGTGTCTGGCAATAGTGTCTGGCAATACTGCATGGTGAATATGATTTGATGAACACCTACAGTACATGAACTCTGAGTCAATTTACAGTGTCAGTACAGTAGGCTATACCTGGGCAGTAGTAGCACTAATAGGCAGCCAGTCTTCCTTCCAGAGACAACATGCTGAAACATTTAGGTGTTGAGGCAATGGCTTCTGCTCCAGCAGTCTCTCTAGTCTAAAGGAACCTCTGCCAACAGACACAGCACATGCCAAAAGCCTAAAATCCCCTCTACAAATCATTGAGCATACACATGTAAGATGCGGAATCAAGCCCATTTTCCCAATGAAAGATTTTGTGTGCATGGCAATGAATGCATTCCATTGGTTGAAGAAAGGCTTTTCTTTGGGATCAGGCCCCTTTATGGTTCATCACAATTGGATCTATAGGGAAAGTGAAAATGGATTGAAACTTGCGTTTGAAATGCTTGAGCTCGCGTGTCAAGACAACAGGAATTAAAGATGGCATACCACGCTAAAAGATTACAACATAGATCCGACCTTGTATGTTAGTGCATGAAGCCTACCCCTTCGATATTTGTCTCACACACAACCCCTTCGGGCAAATTATTTAGTCCAAAAAGAGATGTTTTCATACAATATAAAAAACTAAGGCAAATTACAAATAAAGGAAGTGCATTCCTTTGGATTGTGCACGTCTTTGCACTCTTTGAGGGAGTGGATATGAGGATCATAAAAGAGATAAGCATTTGAGTTCCTCGCTGTGAGAGCTCTCCACAGGTGTGCTGATAACTGACAATCTGTCAGCGTTTTTCTCAACAGCCACACCCACAGAACTGACATTTTAGTAGGAGGGGGAGTGAGTAACGACAGATGTCTTGCCAAAGCAAATAGGAGACACTCTGTATAATTACAAAGGTGACTCATCAATCAAAAAGCAAAGTTGTATTGACACCATTTTGCTGCGGAATCCAACAATATCTGCTGCCGTGAGTCTTTAACATGGGGTTTAACTATTACTGAACAAAAAAACTATTACTGAACTATTACTGAACATGTAAAGTGTTGGTCCCATGTTTCATGAGCTGAAATAAAATATTCCAGAAATGTTTAATACACACAAAAACCTTATTTCTCTCAAACTTTGTGCACAAATTTGTTTATATCCCTGTTAGTAAGCATTTATCCTGTTCCAAGATAATCTATCCACCTGACAGGTGTGGCATATCAAGAAGCTGATTAAACAGCTTTATCATTATCATTATCATTGTGCTGGGGGAAATAAAAAGGCCACTCTAAAATGTGCAGGTTTGTCACACAACACAATGTCACAGATGTCCCAAGTTGGGGGAGCGTGCAATTGGCATGCTGACTGCAGGAATGTCCACCAGAGCTGTTGCCAGAGAATTTTATGTTAATTTCTCTGCAATGTCGTTTTAGAGAATTTGTCAGTATGTCCATCCGGCCTCACAACCGCAGACCATGTGTAACCACACCAGCCCATGACCTCCACATCCGGCTTCTTCACCTGTGGAATGGTCTGAGACCAGCCAACCAGACAGCTGATGAAACTGTGGGTTTGCACAACTGAAGAATTTCTGCACAATGTCAGAAACCATCTCAGGGAAGCTCATTTGCGTGCTCGTCATCCTCACCTGGGTCTTGACCTGACTGCAGTTCAGCGTCATAAGCGACTTCAGTGGGCAAATGCTCACCTTTGATGGCCACTGGCATGCCGGAGAAGTGTGCTCTTCAAGGATGAATCCCGGTTTCAACTGTACCGGGCATATGGCAGACAGCGTCTATGACTTCATGTGGGCGAGCGGTTTGCTGTCAACGTTGTGAACAGAGTGCCCCATGGTGGCGGTGGGGTTATGGTATGGGCAGGCATAAGCTACGGAAAATGAACACACTTGCATTTTATCGATGACAATTTGAATGCACAGAGATACCGTGACGCAATCCTGAGGCCCATTGTCGTGCCATCATCTGCCGCCATCACCTCATGTTTCAGCATGATAATGTACGGCCCCATGTCGCAAGGATCTGTACACAATTCCTAGAAGCTGAAAATGTCACAATTCTTCCATGGCCTGCATACTCATCAGACATGTCACCCATTGAGCATGTTTCGGATGCTCTGGACCCGCCAATATCCAGCAACTTTGCACAGCCATTGAAGAGGAGTGGGACAATATTCCACAGGCCACAATCAACAGCCTGAGCAACTCTACGCGAAGGAGATGTGTTGCACTGCATGAGGCAAATGGTGGTCACACCAGATGCTGACTGGTTTTCTGATCCACACCCCTACCATTTTTTTTATGGTACTGTATCTGTGACCAACAGATGCATATCTGTATTCCCAGTCAAGTGAAATCCATAGATTAGGGCCTAATTAATTCATTTCAATTGACTGATTTCCTTATATGAGCTGTAACTCAGTAAAATCTTGTTGCATGTTGCATTTATATTTTTGTTCAGTGTAGGAGATCTCAGCTGGGCAGAGACAACATGGAAGGGAAGGAGGGTAATTGGGCTGGATGGACATGCTGCATCTGTCTACTTAACCTGGGTGCCAGCCTGAGATAGTGATAAAGCTAAAAAGTCTAAGACTGGCATCCAGGCTAATATAATAGCCCCATGAGAGTGTTCTATGATGCGTAAACATGCAAGTTCGTACACTAAATGATGTTGAATTGAACGGTTTTCACTCCCAGATGTATACAAGCACTTTGGCTATTGGTAGAGGCCTGAGCTCCACCAAAGCAGTTGGCTGTAGCAGTTTCCCAACAAAAGCATTTGTGCTCCCGACTCTCCCTTTGTGTCCTTATCGTCCTTCCCAAAAAGTGACACATTCTGCATGGCTAAGTAGGGCCAGCCTTAGAGCCCTTTCACTCCCCATTTCACGCTGTAATAAAACGCAGCAGTTGTTGCACTGTGGAGCCCTGAAAGGCTTTCTGTGGGGCCGATGTGAGAGTCAGGGACTGAATGGCTGCCAATGCGACAGCACCATCCTCACTTTGTCACGGCGAAGGGGGGAGAGGAGAGGGTTGGGAGAGGCAGGGGAGTGGGGGGAGAGAAAACTTGGCTGTGTGTGTGTGTGTGTGTGTGTGTGTGTGTGTGTGTGTGTGTGTGTGTGTGTGTGTGTGTGTGTGTGTGTGTGTGTGTGTGTGTGTGTGTGTGTGTGTGTGTGTGTGTGTGTGTGTTTGTGTTTGTGTTTGTGTTTGTGTTTGTGTACATGCGTGCATCTTAGAACTTCCACTCCCCAGGCAGCTAAGCTGGTTATCTCGGTCCATCGTAAAAAAGGCTAATTCCCCAACGGGGACAGCTGGATCAACACAAACTTTGACAAAATGTATTGTATAAAATGTCACAAAAATTGTTTTGCTTCAGTTAATGAAGCGTGAACCGTTACCAATCGAGATTGACCCAGGCTTCACAATATGCACTGCAGACATAACAAAAGGCAGCAACATCATTCATAGTAATGTATTACATATACAGTGGGGAGAACAAGTATTTCATACACTGCCGATTTTGCAGGTTT